TACCCCACCGTAGGTGGGAGCCTTTGCGGCACTGGGGTAATGATGATGATGATTTCATGGGAGGATTACTTTTTAAGTTTTATTTGAGCCGCACCCCACATAGAAACACATATATAACAGGTTCACGGTGCGAAGAAAAGTTCAGCGCAAAACCAATAGATCAAATATCACTATTAATGAATCAAACACTCTTGGTTCCAAGCACATACAGTGTGTTGAGCTTCTTCAAAGCTCCAATTTTTGAAGATAAAATGCCAGAAAATCCCATATTGGACAACGACCTACAAACCACCATGACAACTTTTTAGTGTACCGTGGAACGAACATATCAGGATGGAAGACAAGTTAGCATTTGTTTCACCATGAACAAACTACACCTACAGTATCATATTGACATACTGTCACTTACACCATCTGGACATTGGAACTATCATCACATGTGATTTTGGACCATGTGCATGGATTAACTTGATTCGGATTCCAATCTTGAAGCACACTACTAGATGCATTGAGTGACCCTTTCAACGCATACAGTGCATCTCCTTAATAAAGAAAACAAAACAATGTAAAAGTATTACAGGTTGATATCAATACGTTTCTTTGATGAATACAATTTCATTATTTATCTCCGGTAACAACTTGATAAACCCATTCAGAATAAAAAGAATGTAACAATATGCATGGAGAGCCTCCACGAAATCCCCAAAATGTTTGCCAAACGGTACATTAAATTTATTCTTAGTGTTAATAAATACAACTAATATAGCAAATCGAATGCAATTATTGAGACTTGCATTTCATCCTAACAGATTTGTATGTTCCTTATGAATCATAGGAATCCTTTGCTCAAACTTGTTGGACCAATGGGTCTGATACCATATTGAGACTTTATCAACAGGGAGCGGTACATGACTTTATATGTGATTTTTATAATTCTATTTGATAAGTATGAGATAAGTTGAAATCAATATAATCAGTAAGAAGCAAACAGATAATATATAATTGACTGGATTTCTTCTGAAAGGTGCAGAGACAGACATAGGTTGGTAATACTCCAGAAGTCCATTATAATACTACAAGAACTTGCAAGTTAGATCAAAATAGCAGGGTACCTTGAGCATCAGGTGACACCAAAGAGCAAAAGCATGCCAAAAGTAGTACTGCATAGAACTGTATCATTCCCATTTCTGAAGAAGATCCTTTCATTCTTTATCAACACTAATTTCCGGTAATTGATGCAGCATTTGATGCCACCTTCCAAAGCCCATGAAACAAAGCGAACTGCAAACACATGACACACACTCAATGAGCTACCACTACAATAGACAGTTAACCCACAAATGCAAAACTTCTCCAGGTAATTTAACCTTTAAAATTTAAATACCACATTAAGATAGATTATTTATGCAGGGGCTAATACACAGACATAAGCTAATGTTTCAACCAAATACATTTGCAAATAAAAAACCACAGAAAGCAGCTCAGCTATCAGCCCGTTCAACAATTACCCATATAAAGAAAATCAAATCTCTATATCTACATCCGGTCGAATCAAGAACACTTTTTCAGCTCAGACCTTGAATACATATAAGATCATCTACCGAGTAGACGAACTAATTTAGGCAATTCCAGAACAGCGTATTGAATTAGAAAGATGAAACAGTACCTGAAGTAAGAAAGTGGGAGTGAAAGAAAACCAGAAAAAGGAAGCCTCTTTGCTCTTTACTCTCTCGTTTAACTGATCCGCCGTCAATAAGGTATTTATGTTAATTGGTATCTCAATCCACGAAGCTTTCTATCTCTGCCATTATTACTCCTTAAAAATTTTATTATTACAGAAAAATGCTGAAGAGCCAGAGCTTCCCCTCAGGTCTAATGGTGGGCGGTCGTGGACTGGAGTTTGGCCCCCACAAATTAACGTTTTCTCACCGTGAGAGCGACTTGTTGGACAAAATAAAAAAGAATGTAACTGCGGGGCCCCCCAACCAATTTTCCAGCTGACCTCTATTTCCCTATCCAGAATTTATTCGCAATTGTTTTGACGACATTTGATTTTGAAATACAGCCCATAAATTTAAAATTGAACATTTAAGAACAAATTTTGTTAATGAGACAGGTAGACAATATGGACTAGCGCATGCTTTAGGAGCTCTTCTGTTTTTTTCGTTTATTATTATTATATTTCTTTTTAATTTTATTTTATTTTTTTATTTTTTATTTTTTTTTATTTTTTATTTTTATTTTGTTATTTTTGTTTTTATTTTTATTTGTATTTTTATTTGTATTTTTATTTGTATTTTATTTTTATTTTTATTTTTATTTTTATTTTTATTTTTATTTTTATTTTTATTTTTATTTTTATTTTAGGCTTTATAGTCTTTACTAGGTCTGTTAAATGGGCTTTCGGCCCCTTGCCCTCTTTATTTGCCCAACTTCCAATTCTTTCTATTTTAATTCAAGAGAATTACCTTAGTCTGAAATAAAATAATTCCGCTGATATAAAATGTTGTCCTGTCTCAAATGAATTTAATATGCGGCCCGGAGTTCACGTCCTTCGGCTACGTGGACTCCACAATTTAAATTAATGATTGCTAAAATTAAAAGCTAGAATAAAATTAACGACCTTATTCATAATTGTTCAAAACTTTAATTAGCCAAAACTTATAATCGGGGGGGGGGGGGGGGGGGGGGGGGGGATGGTGTCACAAAAAAACAATCAATTAACTTCAAAAACTATATAAAAATAGGGATGGACCCAGGCCGGTCCGGTTTTGATTCCGGGCCGGGCCCGGGCGGGCTTTTTTTAAAATTGTTGGGCCCAGAACCAGCTCGGGTTGATACCGGGTCCGGACCTAACCGGGCCGGGCCCGGGTCAAGGTAATTTTTTTTGCTTCTAATTAACTCCCGACCCCACCCCCAAACCCCCCCAAAACACCCAGCCCTAACCAAGAAAAACAAAAAAAATTGAAAAACCCAAAAGAAAAAACTCGGGCCTGGCCCGAATCGCCCGAGCCAGTTCAACAAATATAGGGCCCGAGAACGGCCGGCCCAACCCTCCCCAACCGGGTAAAAGCCCAGGCCCGATTAGCACCAATCGGGCCGGTCCAGGCCCGCACAGTGGCGGGCTGAGCCGGTTCCGGCTAGGCCGAACCGGTTGGGTCCACCCGTATATAAAAACAGTTAGATTTCTAATTTAGTCGATTGATTCCCGGTTAACCAGTGACTCTGATGATGTGGTAGTTAGAGTTAAATACTTTTAATGTTTTTTCCCCTTTTCCCTTTCTTTTTCCCCTCTTTTTTTCCACGCTTCTTTCTTCTTCGGGACAATTAAACCACAACTCACCTGCTTTCTCCTTCTTCAACCTACCCTGCCCCTACCCCCCTCATTGTTATTGTTCTTCTTCATCCCAGCCCGCCCACCCCTTGCTCCGTCCTTTTTCTTCCCGTTTATAATTATTCTCCACTTTTCTCCAATTGACTCTCAAGATGGGGAGAAATGGCCGTCACACTAGGATCTGTCCAGAGGCGGCTTGAGCATTTTGGAGGCCCCAGACGAAAAATATTTACTATGTACAAATCACTTTTAAAATCAGATAAATTAAATAAAAATCGCCTTATGAAAAAAAGCATATTCAAAGTCCACGATATAATGTTTGTAATATTCAAAAGGATAAATTTTAAAATGCAAACTTATTCAAAACACAAGGCAAACTTGTACTTGTAAAAGTATTAAGAGACTTCAAGAACGAGACTCAGAGAGAAGAGCTGAAGAGTCTTAGTTGATTCACTAACCAAGGACCCATGTCGACGGCGGGCAGTGAGGCATATATACAGTAGCCGATTAACGATTTGTGTTGGACGTTGATGCGTGTTGAGATCGGCTTTTGATAGTTTTTTCCTAACTTTAAGGTGTCATAAGTCTCAATTTTAAGCTCAAGTCATATTTACCGGCCGTTGGTTCGAGTTTTGGTATTTTTGGAGTCAAAATCAGGGAATTTGAGCTTGACACCGGTGTTTGAGAAGCAATAGGGACGAGTTGAGAAGCATTTTAGAGTTGATTAGGAGCATTGGAGATCATTGAGGTGTTAAAGACAAAGTTTTGAAGACAAAAGAGCTCTAGAATTGGCTACGGGATCAAAAGAAGACGAATAGAACTTGAAAACAACGGTCAGGATGACGTTCAGTCAATCGTTCAAGCATATCTTTTCTTAGGAACATCCAAAAAACATGATTCAAGTTTCATATGAAAGTCAACTTCAAGGGATACAAATCATATGAAGACACCATTGTGAGAATCTGAGAGAAGAAAGGTGAAAACAGACGATGAAGTCAGACAATCTCTGTTGAGATTTCAGAATGCGACCTTCCACCATTTTATTCATATATTTTTATTGGATGATTCAAATCCAGTTTTGCAAGTTGTGTTGGATAGAAGACTTCATTAGCTACAACTTTGATGAAGGATGGATAGTCAAAAGTGAACTATAAAGCTGATTTCTGCTTGCAGTTGCCGCTTGGTGTATTGGCGGTCTGCGAATAACACCTAAAAGCCGCCTCTGGATCTGTCTATGCTGACCACCAAATCCGGGGACCTCGGCCTTGTGTAATGTCCTCTGTTCATAGTTCCAATGTTAAAGAACATATTGAAATATTAGATGATGTTAAAGGTATATGGATCAATTACGTATTCGTAAAAATTACTTAATTAGTATCACACTCTTATCATGTCTTGTTAGCAAACCTGAGCATATATGGCTGCTAACACGACAATGGTTGAGGGATGAAAATTTGTATCAGCAAAAAGGATTATATAACATTCAAGGTGCATAAATCGCTTTATTGACTTCAAGATAGAAAGCGGCATCTCCACTCAAGATAGAAAATTCGTCGACTCATTCTCCCTTACGAGAGGTCTCGGTTCGAAAATCTATGGAAGGAGTTTCAACCCTGTTTACCGTAGACTCCCCCAACCCTGACCCCCCGGGGTAAAAAAAACTTGTTTAACATCAATATTTTGTATTATTAGCGAGCACCCTTTTGTAAACTTCCAAAACTTCACTGTATAAGTACATTCTTTTCACTAATTAATGTTGTTTGTGGTAATTGTTTTCTTCATGGATAGCTTTTAAGAATTAGAAAAACTAGAAAACATTACCCATATACAAACAAAAAATACATGACTAAGCATATGAGATTTAACCACATCCTAAGACCAAACAAATTAACATTAAGCAAACATTTTTATCTTGCACCAGACAACTCAATTGCACTCTGTTTATAGGTTGAATCTTCACTCCACTCGATTCGTTTTTGTAAACGGCCATAATCTTGATTACGAGTCACTTCGACATGTTGCCATTCTCTCCACATCTCAGCAAGTCCCTCCCCTTCTAACATTCTTACAACCTTTGACATCGCAGGTCGTTCTTCAGGTGACGCTTGCGTGCATAGTAGTGCAACCTGAATAATCATGTGTACTTCTTCTATGTTGTAATTCCTCTTTAGGTTACCATCTACAATATCATGTAGCCTATTCTCTCTTTGCAATTTCTTCACCTACAAATGACGAATATATGGGTTTGGTAGTTCTTGGTATAAGGAATATGTATAAGAATGAAAAATAAATAGTAATAATACATAAAGTGGAGTAGTATTTTTGTGTTTCTGTCAAGCTCACTTTAGAGAGTTCACCAACTTCTATAATATAGTAGTAATATATAAAGTACGAGTAGTATTTAAGCCTTTTTGCGCATAAATACAAAACATTTCAAATTTACCTAAAATAAGACTATTCTAAACAAATTAACGACGTCTTTTCCCGTTTTTTTAATAAACCATGTCATGTATGTGATAGTAAAAAATAAAAAATAGTAAGAATGCTAACTTACTAGATCAACCAATAATACATCATCTCCATCATGGCGAGAGAAGTCAATGACACGTTGACCTGTAACGAGCTCTAGAAGCATGACTCCATAGCCAAAAACATCCGTTTTCTCTGATGATTTTCCAGATTGCAAGTACTCAGGAGCAATGTGTCCCATAGTACCACATACTTGAGTGGTCACGTTGGTCTTTCCAACATCTACCATCTTTGCCAACCCAAAATCACCCACAACAGCTTCAAATTCTTCATCTAATAATACATTTGCAGCCTTAACATCACGGTGAATAATTTTCGGATTACAATGCTCATGTAAGTACTCAAGTCCACGTGCAGTGCCCAATGCCACACGGTTTCTAGTAGGCCAGTTCAGAACAGCCTCCCCAGGTTGAAGTTCTAAAATTTATTTCAGTAAGAAAAAAAACCCAAAATGATATAATTATTAGAGTTGGCAAGAAATAAAAAACTGAAATTTATGTCTAGTGTGTATACTTCTTGAATAACCTCCATTTCTTTAGAGCCTGTCAAAATTCACTCACTATATTTGTGATGAGAGCAAAAAAAAAAATAACAATCAACGGTAACAACCGTTGCCCAAGCTTGAAGCTCAAAAACCACTTTATTCCAATAATAATCCCTCCTCTAATAACCCTCTTAAGGGGTATAAATAGCCTACTAATTCTAATTAAGGTAGAACTCCTAATTAAATAACTTAATTAAAATCGGAAACATAATAAAAGGAAATAACTAGGAAACTTAATTAAAATAGGAAACATAATAACAGGAAATAACTAGGTAATTAATTCAAGCCAATTAAATATCCAGCCCACGGAGGTGGGCTCCAGCCCGTCCCCGCCTTCGGTAGACCAACAAGGGCCTCGGGCCCTGTTCTGCCTCAGTCGGCTCCGCCTGCTCTCTATCAACTTCATCCTCCTTTGAAAGAACCTTGTCCTCAAGGTTGAAATCTGGAAATTGACCCACAAAATTTGCTTTATCCATCCATGTAGCATCGTCAATCGACTGCCCTACCCATCTAACCAGAAGCTCTTCCTCCTTGTCATTTTTCTTTCTGCTAGCTAATATCTCTTCAGGCTCAAACAGTGGGCCTATTGGTAGCTCCAAACTTTCTGGCAACTCATTCTCTATCGGATGATCGCCTACCACCTTCCGCAACTGAGATACATGAAAAACCGGGTGGATACGGCTGCTGGATGGTAGCGCTAGACGATAGGCTGTCGGTCCAATCCTTGCTTCAATAAAAAATGGCCCATAGAATTTGGCGGATAGATTATTGTAAGACTGCCGGAATAGAGAAGTCTGGCGGTGAGGTCTCGCCTTCAAAAACACTTTATCTCCAACCTGAAATTCCACGTCGCGACGGTGCTTATTAGCTTGGGTCACCATGCGCTGCTGGGCTTTCTGTAAACTTTCTTTCAGTCTCTTCAACATGACATCCTTGCTGCCCAGCTAGCACTTCTGTCATTGCTGCCATCGTGCTCTCTCCTGGCAGAAATCGGCGAATAGTGGGTGGGGGCCTGCCGTAAACCACCTCAAACGGTGAAATTCTTGCTGTCGTCTGGAACGTGGTATTATACCAATATTCAGCCCACGACAGCCAACGCGCCTACTGCCGCGGCTGCTCACAAGTGAAACAATGAAAATATGTCTCTAACACACGATTCAGCACTTCTGTCTGTCCATCTGTCTCCGGGTGATAAGCTGAACTAAATTTTAACTGCGTACCAGACAAGAAAAATAGCTCCTTCCAGAATGCACTTATAAACAGGGAGTCCCGGTCACTCACAATTGAACGTGGAATGCCATGTAACCTGACTACTTCTCTGGAGAGGGCTTCAGCCACTGATCGTGCTGTGATCGGAGTTTTTAGGGCAATAAAATGCCCATACTTGGACAATCGGTCTACCACCACTAAAATGGATGCGTACCCCTTCGACTTAGGCAAGCAAGTGATGCAATTCATGGAAATATCTTCCCAAATCAAGTTGGGAATAGGTAAAGGCTGCAGCAGTCCAGCCGGCGACATTGCCTCATATTTGGGCTTTTGACAAACCAAACATTGAACAACATAAGCGTGTACTTGGCGGAACATTCTCTTCCAGAACACGTTCATTGCTAGCCTTCTGTATGTCCTGTGTGCGCCAGCGTGACCTCCTGTTGGCGTGTCGTGGAATTCCTCCAATAGGCGAGGAATCCATTTAGAGTCCGAAGCCAGGGCCAATCGGCCCTTGTAGAACAGACGCCTCCCAATTACTTCATAACCTGGTACACTAGCTGGATCGGTTGCCAATGTCTGTATAATTTCTCGTAAAAAATTATTTTTCTTTTGCTCCTCTTCTATGTCAGCTAGTCCCAACCACTCCGGCATGCTGACCGCGGCTAGATCCATTATTTCCCCTTTACGAGATAGAGCGTCTGCAGCCGTATTAGAAACCCATGTCTTGTATTCAATCTCAAAATCATAACCCAATAATTTTGCAACCCAGATCTGCTGGGAAGAGGTCGCTATGCGCTGAGTGAGCAGATGCTTGAGACTGCGGTGATCTGTGCGCACCACGAATTTTCGCCCGATTAAATATGGCCGCCAATGCTGCACGGCTAATGCTAACCCCATCATCTCTCGCTCGTAGGCTGATCTGGAAAGGGTTCTGTCCGCCAATGATTTGCTAAAATAAGCAACAGGTCTCTGCTCTTGCATAAGTACTGCTCCGATCCCAGTTCTAGATGCGTCACATTCCACCACAAATCGACGGTCAAATTGGGGCATGGCTAACACCGGTGCTTCTGTTAAAGCCTTCTTGAGCTGTCTAAATGCCCCCTCGGCCTCTAGGGACCAATAAAACTGAGCTAATGCCTCCTTTTTCAGAAGATTCGTGAGTGGTCGTGCAATCAGCCCATATTCTTTCACAAACCTCCTATAGTATCCAGTCAGTCCTAAAAATCCACGAACCTCACGGACAGAATTCGGTGACGGCCAATCCATCACCGCGCTAACTTTAGCCGGATCCATGGCTACCCCTTCTTGAGAAATAATGTGCCCCAAGTACTCAACCTGTGGTCGCCCGAATGCGCACTTCTTCATGTTGGCTCTGAACTGATTCTTCTCTAGGAGGCTTAGGACTAATTCCAGCTGATCTCGATGTTCCGCCCAAGATTTGTTGTACACTAAAATATCATCGAAAAATACCAGCACAAATTTCCGCAATAGGGTCTGAACAAGTCATTCATGGCTGCCTGGAAGGTAGCTGGGGCGTTTGTCAGTCCGAACGGCATCACCAAAAATTCATAATGCCCACTGTGAGTACGAAAATCAGTCTTATGTACGTCAGGACCAACCACCCTGATCTGATGGTACCCAGAGCGTAGGTCTATTTTGGAAAAAACCATCGCCCCAGCCAGTTCGTCTAACATCTCCTGTATCACCAGAATTGGGCATTTATCTGGTATCGTAGATTTGTTTAGCTCCCTGTAATCCACACAAAATCGCCAGCTGCCATCCTTCTTCTTGACCAACAAAACTGGGCTCGAGAATGGGCTAGAACTTGGTTGAATGATGCCTGCCTGAAGCATTTCGTCTACAAGTTTCTCGATCTCATCCTTCTTCAAATGACCATACCGGTACGTCGAACTGACACGGGCTGTGTCCCAGGAATTAGCTCAATGTGGTGGTCCGTGGCACGGCGAGGTGGCAGCCCCCGCGGTTCCTCAAATACCTCGGTATGCTGCCCGAGAATATCCTCCACAGTACCAGCAGCTGCTCCAGATAGTCTGGCAGGCTCACTCACTAGAACAACGACACAAAACTCGATATATGTGGTCTTAAGTAGTGTGCGTAGGTTGACTGCGTTTCTGCACATTGCTGGATCGCCCCTTAGCTCTATCTGTCTACCATCAAGCTTGAATCGCATCGTTAAATTTTTCCAATTGGTTCGAACTTCTCCCAATGTGGCTAACCAAGCAACTCCTAATATAAGATCAACCCCGGCCAATGAAAACACAAAACAGTCCGTTTTAACTGTGCATTCTGGTAAAGTCACCACAAGCTGCCGTCACACCCCTTCTGATTCTTGCCTATGCCCATCCCCCAACTGGACCCCGAATTTCCCGGTCTTGTCCGGGTTCAGTCAGAGTAGTGACACTAATGAAGATGAGACAAAATTGTGACTGGCACCACTATCTATCAATACCGTCACCGTGCACCCCTCAATCACTCCACGGAGCCTCATTGTCTGAGGGCTGAAGATTCCAGCCATAGCATATACTGGAAAATCGTCGTCACCGCCATCAGAATTGTCGTTGTTCTCTGGGAATTCCTCCTGCCCTGTTACCTCAAAATAATCATGTTGCTGCAGGTCCAATTCTTCATCTTCCTCAGCTAGCATCACCCTTAATTGTTTAAAGGGGCAGTCATGTCCCGGTGTAAACGGTTTCCGGCACTTGAAGCATAATCCCTTTGTCCGCAGCTCTTCTAACGCCTTTGGGGGAAGTCTGGTGAACCAGGAACGTGCGATGGACTGCCCGGACTGCCCTGAAGTGGAACCCACAGCCGGTGAAGATTTCCCCACAGTCTGTCCAGTGGCCTTATTGAGGCTGCCACTGGAGTTGCGCGAGCTGACACCATTAGCAGTTGGCGGGTGGCCCGTGTAGGGTCGGCAATAGCTGGTGGAAAGTGACCCTGTGGAAATATAATTTGGACCTCCTCTACCTCCGTTCTGAATGGACAGGTTATGCTCCACATCTTGAGCTAATTCCATGGCCACTTCAAGGTTATCCGATCGAAATAAGCGCAACGAGCTTCAGATTGCTTCTTTAAGTCCACTCATATAGTATCCCAAATAATGATCGTCGGTCAATCCCGGAACTTGGCTAGCCAGTTGAACAAACAAGGTATTGTAATCCTCCACAGACCCAATTTGTTTGACTCCAGACAACCGTTCAAACTTGTTCCCCTGAAATCGGGAATCAAATCTGGCCACCAGGGCTTGCTTGAATTCTTCCCATGTCATGCTGGGTTTGCATGCTTTCAGCCAGGTTACCCAGTAGAGGGCCCCTCCTTCCATGGCAACCACAGCGGCTGCCACCTTTTTCTCTGATAGGGTTCCGTTTAATTCAAATTGTTGTTCAACACAAGCTATCCACCCGATCGGGTCCTCTCTGTCAAACGTTGGCAGCAAGGTGTGGTCGGTGATGTGCGGCAGGTTGTCGACGATGGGTGTTGTCACAGCAGCACTTCCGACTACAGCAGTGGAAGTTTTCGGCGAGATCGGCGGCACAAGGGCCTGGGTTAGCGCTGCCAGAGAGGCGGCGATTTCAGCCAGCCGCATGTCGTGTTCTTCCAGGGTGTGATTCATCCGATTCTGCTCAATCGCCAATCGGGCTTGCTCCTCTCCCATTCGGGTTTGGTCTGTCTCTACCTCTGTCAATCGATCGCTCTGAGATCTTGTCATCTTGGTGGGACGTGATCCAGCAGGTCGGACCAATTGATGAGAGCAGAAAAAAATAACAATCAACGGTAACAACCGTTGCCCAAGCTTGAAGCTCAAAAACCACTTTATTCCAATAATAATCCCTCCTCTAATAACCCTCTTAAGGGGTATAAATAGCCTACTAATTCTAATTAAGGTAGAACTCCTAATTAAATCATACTAGGAAACATAATAAAAGGAAATAACTAGGAAACTTAATTAAAATAGGAAACATAATAAAAGGAAATAACTAGGTAATTAATTCAAGCCAATTAAATATCCATCCCACGGAGGTGGGCTCCAGCCCGTCCCCGCCTTCGGTAGACCAACAAGGGCCTCGGGTCCTGTTCTGCCTCAGTCGGCTCCGCCTGCTCGCTATCAATTTGCTCCTAAAGGAGCAAGATGATTTTATTTTAATATGTCTCATGTCAAATTTTTACTAGATCTAATATACGTAATGAGATAAATCTCACCCCTTAACGATGCACTTTTGGTGTGAGTTAAGTCTAATTTCATAGTTCAAGAGGTCATGTATATTAATCATTAACTCTTTAAGAGATGAGAAACTCTACAAATCTATACTACAACAACAACATCCAAGCCTTAATCCCAAAAGAATTTGGGGTCGGCTAACATGAATCGATCTATTGATAAACTCTACAAATCTATAATGGATAAAAAACTAGTGGGTCTCATTAAAAAGTTCAAAAATATATGATGCAAAAATGATATTACCTCGCAAACGAGAGGCAACACTTAAATTCGGCATAAAGGGGTAAACGAGAAGGCGTTCTGTTACGGTAGTGCAAAAGCCAATGAGCCTTAAGAGATTCCGATGAACTGCAACACTTATCATCTCAACTTCTCGGTAGAAAGCAACATCTCCACTAGGACTGTGGTAGCTTGTTAACCTTTTAACAGCAATCTTCGTGTGATCCATGAGCACTCCTTTGTATACTTTCCCGAAACCTCCCTGTCCAAGTACATTCTTTTCACTAAAGTTGTCTGTAGCAATTTGCAACTCTGTCCATAAAAATCTTCTTAACTGACCGAATTCAATTTGTCGATCAACATCTCCTGAATATAACAAGGGCCAATTATATGTAGATACTGAGGTGGAGTAACATATATGTGACAGACATTAATGCTTATATAGTGAACAAACACTAATGCTTATAGTGCAGCATATACATCAAATCTTCTCAAAAGTAAAGAATAAAAAGATTTGGCTGAGAAAGAAACTGTGTTATGCATATTGACTATATTAAAAGGAGTAAATAGACTTGAAACCAACCTGCAACATCTTCAAAGTTTTCCCGCTTGTAGCCTTTATGACGGACCCTCATGCAAAATATTAGTAAGCCTCCCACAAGAACAATAAGTCCAATAACAACAGCTAAAACAATGCCAGACTTTGATGTACTTGGAAGAACTGCCAACAACAAAAGCTAACTCGTCATAGAAAGATAAGACGCTTCATATCAATGAGAACAGTTCCTCCTTGTATCCACTTAAAGTATTCAGCACATAGGTACACCTAATTAATAATATTTTCCTAATCTGTTCTTGAAAAATCTTAGTGACTGTGTACAATTACTTTTCCGCATTAATATGGAGTATGAACTACACTCATCAAATATAAAGATGTAAGCTTATATATTAGACTTCAGGACTACTCTTTCTACCGGGCCAACCTTTTTGAATAGAAACCCAAGCATGTCTTATTAGAGATACTAAATCACGCCTTGGGATACTCTTCCTGACCTTTTTGGTGGAACTCAAGTCTTAATATTTTACTACGTATTACAGAGAAAAATACATTGATATTCCATTTACCTTTTCTAGATTCACAAGGCTGGCTAAAATTGAAGCCACAGTTTAAATGGTTACCTGTGAAACTTAACAAATATACAAGGTTGTCAAGAATGTATGTTGAGTGTCATACTTGATTATTTAACTATTTTAGAAAACATAAGCAATTAGTATACTTGTATTGGGAGACTTCAAATAAACTTTTAGGAATTTGGCCAATTAGACGATTTGAACCGAGCTGCCTGCGATTAAGAACATACCCGTAAAGTTAAGCAATGGCCTGCTCTCATTATAGTAGGTTCATAAGTACATAAAGTAGCACCAAGGTCGTAAATAATAATACAAAGTGCAGCAAATGATTAATGTGGCAATGGTCCAACAAGCTCAGATCATGAGTCGTTACTCACAAGTTAGTTAAGCTTGGAAGGGTTAAAAGAGATCGAGGGATTGTCCCAGTGAGATTGTTCCGATTCAAGTACCTGCTTGGGAACATTGTGAAAATAAAACTAAGTGCTCATACAACAAACAACAAGCTAAGAATGCATTTGAAAACTTACAAGAACTGGAGCATCTTGAGGTTTCCAAGCGAAAGTGGTATTTCTCCGTACAATTGGTTATTTTCCAGGTTCAACATTGTCAAGCTTGACAGATTTCCAACTTCTTCAGGAATCCTACCCGTTATCCTATTTCCTTGCAACGATCTACATGAATATATCATTTCGAATAGAAAATTCAGCATTGGGTTGGAGTCATTCAATTAATGGGCTAAACCATACTAAAAGAATCTACCAAAAACTATTAATCAATTCGACTCGAGCTATTACTAATCCACCATTTTCACTTGACTCGTAGGACTAACCGAAAGTGCCATCAATAAATTTCAACTGTACTCCCTTCGTCCCACTACAATTGTCCCATTTTTCTCTTTTCGTCCGTCCCACTAAAATTGTCCCATATCATATTTGGTAATATTTGTACGACTCTAATTCATTCTTACTTTATTTCCATTCTATCAAGTCATTATCAACCACATAATTCTACTTTCTTAAAAACCACACCACTCTCTTTTGACTCAATATTAGGGGGCGAAGATAGTAGCAGTTATAGAAGTGGTATGACGCAAGTTTAATGCAAAACGATTCAATCAACTATTACTACTCACCACAGCCTAGTACTTTTGTCTCATTTTTTTCATACAACAACAAAATGATAATACGTTTTCATTATATTTCATTTTTACTTTATTCACACATTATCAATTCTTTTTCAAACGACGTAACTATACTTTTCTTAACAAGCAGACCACCTACTGCTAGTCCCAATCTTAGGGGCAGAGATAGTACTATGCAACACTCTGAGATCGTACAGTGTGGTGAGCTTCTTCAAAGCTTTAATATTGGGAGATAAAGTGCCGGAAAACCCCATATTAGATAATGACCTGCAAACCACCACGAATTTGTGTGTTTAATTGGCCACATGAATAAAAAACAAGTTATCATGAATGAAGCCGATGGCTTACACACTAATGACATTGTAAGTAGCATCACAATTAATTTTGGACCAAGTGCATGGATTAATTAGATTCGGAGACCAATCTGTAAGCTGACTGCTGGATGCCTTCAGTGACGCCTTCAATGATAACAACGCCTCTCCTAAAATATACGTAACTGTTTGATTTATTTCTTACTAAATATACGTAACTGTTGGGAAAGACAGAGTTAATAATTTGGGTTTATTAACTACTCACAGGGAAGCAGAGCATACCTTGAGCATCTGGGGAAACCAGAGGGCAAAAGAATGGCAGCAACATTAGTGCTCCGTAGAATGTCTGCATTCCTTTTTCCTAGAGATTTCTCACATAAAAAAGATACTCACAAAGGTTGCTTGTCCCTATTACAACACAAAATTTTAAATAATAGTAACTCTTAAACTTAAAGTTGATCATTTTAAAGTTGGCTGGAAGTATTTTGAGTTTCTCCTTTTTCATATTTTATACTACATCCCTTCTTCTTCTACTTTTCTTTTCATCTTCTCTATTCAGAAATGGAATGCATGGTGAAGCTGATTATTAGGGTCTTAAATGGCCGTAATGACCGTGACGATTAGGGTTAGGTTAGGGTTATTTGGCATTATTGAAGGTTAAGCTTGTAAGAAGAAGAGTCACTACACAGGGTGTATGGAGGCAGGGGTGCAGTCACTATAGATGGAGTCCGTGGAAAGATAGTTATTAGACGTAGAGGAAAACGATGTGCATCTCTAATTAAGATAATGGAATGCGGTGACTATCAGCGTCGACGATATTAGTGGCGGTGGCGATGTTAGTGGCGGCGGCACTGGCAGTGTTGTTGTTGGGGCTGGCCAGAACTAGTAGGGGTGCAAAGAGTCGAGCTGTTAGCGAGTCGCTCGTGAATTGCTCGGAAAAAAATAGACTCGAGTTCAGTATATTCCCGCTCGACTCGAGTTCGGTTCGACTCAAATAATTTACAAACTTGAGTCAAGCCTATTTATTTTAGGCTCATGAGCCAGTTCGTGAGCCTTGATATGTGTGTGTATATAAATATTTTTTGTAATGTGTATATAAATATATTATGTATAATAAGTATATAGGCCGTATATAATATTGCTAGAATATTTATTCTAATATAGGATTACTCTATTTCTAATACTTTTTTGCATGATCTATTTCTAATACTTATGATATTATATTAGTAATAACTAAATATAATACTCTCTCCGTCCCTCTGGACTTTGCAAACTTTCCTTTTTTGTTTGTCCTAAAAAACTTTGTCACTTTCCTTTTAAAGCAATGTTTTTGTGGCTCTGTTCATTTCTCTCTCCTCTGCACAAACCTCAACCACACAAATTTTACTATTCTAATTTCTCACCTAACATCAACTTGGCAAAGTTTAGTGGGACGGAGGTAATATTATTTATTATTATAACCATATGTAATCATTGTAATCTATGATACGGAGTTACCGGGGTGGAGACGGGGGTTGGCGGTGGCCACGGCCTCTGCAAGAAAAAAATTGTGATGTATTTATATATGTATAAATATTTAAAAGTAATAAAAAATATAGTGAAAATTTAAGTTTTGCCCTCTGATATATAAATTCCTTATACCCCGGCCCCTGTAACCTGTCAATCCTAGCTCCGTCACTGCGAAGTTAGGTATAAATATTTTCATCAACCCATACGAATCAAGGTTAATATCAAATTGAAATCTTTATAAAACTACCGTGCGAGTAGATGAGTTTGAAATTCACTAAACTAGATGATGTCACCGGCC